TTTGTACAAGTGAACGAATTCCTTGACGGCGGTGGCGTTGGTGTAATGGTCGTAGTTGCCTTCGAATGTGTAGCTTTGTCCTACATTGTAGTGTTCGTCGTAGTGATCCTTTTGGAACACATGGTGCAATACTTCGAAGATGGCCTTTTGCTTGACCAAGGTCTCCTTGTCGACCACCTTGTATTTGCCATGGGTGGTTGGCACGAAGAAACCGCAAGCCACGGCAACTAAGGCGGACAACACAACAATGCTCAGGGCCCTCATGATTCGCTTCTAGTCGGATCTGTTGGACTGCACAATTTGCAGTATGCTTGAACTAAAACAAATTCTGTCTTTTATACTTAATATTTTATCTCAAAATATAGATAATTATATCTATTAATGTTTTGAAACGCTATCTGCAACGATTTTATTAATTGCGAAATTCGTCGGATTATCGAATAATTGGCAACTTGTATTTTTAATTGCATTGCAGTTTATCTGAGCTATCATTTAAAAACATTAAAGTCTATAAAAGATAAACATATGTGGAATATAAGATTTTTACATAATTTTTAGTATTTGTATCAATACGAATTCAAAATGATTTAACGCATTCAGAATGATTTTGGACTCATATCAAACGCTGCTTATGAGTAATATTATTTAAACTTTTACCGGCATAATTTCTGATACATTAAACTGACTTATTTAAAAATATATGTGGAACAAGAAATTTCTATTAACTTATAGGTTTACAACATGGTTAACCTAGTTAAATTCGACTTTAATATTAATTAATATAGAATCAATTACTAATTTAAATAAATCAATTGTACTTAAAATATAAAACTAATAGTTAGCATTATCGGTCATAATAAGTCGTGTATAAACTTTACATAATTTTTAATTTAATCGACATTGAAGAAAAAATATTGTATTAATTTACTATCAATATTTTAATCTTAATTATGTCTATGAAGTGCTATTCTTATATTTTTCAAAACAGTTCCGATTTTATACGATCTTTCCTATTATTCAACGAGTTTATCAAATTAAAGCTCATTAAAAGTAATATTGTAAGTTGTTTTGAAAGATTTCCAATATGTCTTCGAATTTATGAGCAGTATATTCTAATTTAGAATTATTCAAAAAGTTGGAAGTGGTTTATAACATTTACAGACTTTTTATTAGTTTTCCTTGTATCTTGAAAACATTATAAAATTATGTTATAAATTTATATATCTTTGATTAGAAATTTATATTTCTCTTGTTCTTTACTCTGTTTTTTGGCAAAGAATCTAACGACTTTTTTTATAAATTATTTATTAATACATATATAAATTTTTGTGTATTATTTTTCCTAATAATATTAAAACTTTTATTATCCAATTGTACCCCAATTCTTTAATTGTTTTCACTTACAACCATTATCATATTTACTTTCAATAAATAAGAACTATTATCAAATCATAAAATTTTCAGGCTTGAAATTGATTTGATAAATTATTTAGACTTATATGTATCATAATTTTAAATTGTGTCGTCACTGACCTCTACCAATTTTTTTTATAGTTTTATCGTCATATTTTTTGTAAACATTGTTTATGTCACGCATAGTGAATTTATGCTGTTTTTATTAGGAATTTAAAACAGTATTGAAAAGATTGATATAAATCAACTAGGTGATTGTAACATATGCATAATAATTAAACTAGTAGTGTATGGCTTCGTGCCTTAAGGCAAATTGCTGAAACTTGCCGTACCGTAGCGAAATGTTTGAGGAATATTTAATGTTAATTATAAATTAACATTAAAATTGAAAGAATTAAAATTAAAATCAGATTTATTTTTGATGTACAAAAAAAATTTTTTTTCGAAAAACAAATTTAAAATTTTGAAAATCTTTTCGGATGATTCAAACCGGATGCTTAGTTTTTTCAAAAAGAGCCATTTTTGCACATTTAGCTCCGTATTTTCAATATGGCTGGACCCACCTTTACCAAAGATTAATCGCCACTTCTCTAAATCATTACAAATTGAGTGTTTTTGGTTCATTCAAATCGGATATACTCCTTTCTCTCAAAAACTGTATTTTTATTTTCTGCACTCTTTGCTCCGAATCTCCTTAACGGCTGGACCTGTCTTTGCCAAATACTAATCAGCACTATTTCCATATCAATAGGAATCGAATGTTTTTTTAACCATTCAAATTGGTTGATCCGTGCCTTCGAAGACGTAGACAAAAAATATATAAATTGCACTATTTCACAATTCACAAAACATTTAATATTCCTCGAATATCTCATTACAGTACGGGATGTTCAAGCAATTTGCCTCAAGTCACGATGCCACACACCACTAGTTCAATAATTTGTTGTATTCCTGTAACAAATTGCTTTTTTATTTATGCACAAATCTTGATAATAGGGTGCGGTTGCCTAAGTCGTACCACATAAGTAATGTGTTTAATGCAGTTAAATTGAAATAATCTTTGGCGTTTATTGAAACCACATTTAGTTGCCTTCTAATGAACTATTACTGAAGTTTTGATTGTTATAAAGATAGGTATTGTACGTTTTTAAAAAAAGTGCTTTCTATTTTCTATCATATTTTCTTATTTATAGTTACCCAGTCGCAATTTGTTATCAAAGTAAGCACTTTAAATAAAGTAATAATCTCAATATCAAGCCTATGTGTGCTGAGAAAGGAAATGGAGCATGAAGATTCAGCCCAGGGGCATAGCTTCCTTTGTATCAGCCGTATCAAAAATACGGGGCTCCCGAAGAAGGGGGCGCCCAACGAGCGCAAGCAGAACGAAAAACAACCATTTTTCAAAAAAAATAATATATTTGACGTAGTTTGCATTTCCTTTTGTTATTGAGAGATATTGAACTTCAACTTGTAAGCTACGCTTTAAGAGAATTTATTTCTGCTGCAAAATATTTAAAAATGAAAATTCATTGAATTAGTTTGCTAAAGAAGTCCAAATATTTTGCAAAAAAGATGGATTGCAATAACTATTTTAAAGAATAAATGGCAAAAGATAATAAAGCGTTAGTTATCACAAGATAAGAAAATTTTAGACCCAAAATCTTATTTTAATATATACTATTGCTGTTTGAATATATTAATTTCACAAACCAATAAAGATTTCAAAACCATTGCGACTAGTAACTTTCGTCTTTTTGAAATCTAGAAATAATAAACGTTTACGGAAAACTATCAACTGAATACTGTAAAGATATCTCATATGATCATGACCAATTGATGCTTATAGAAATAGGTTTGAATACGGAAATCTAAGAAATTTATTTCATAAAGGTGCAATGATAGTTGCAATAGGCTGGCATCCAATTTTTCCAATGTAATAACAGTATGCATTTTATTCTTGACCCTTCCAGATACAATCGCAACTGCTAAAAGAAATTTTTCATAATTACAACTAATTAAAAATTACGTAAAAACTTTTAGGACAGACCTGTTTAGAACAACACTATTGTTCCTAGAAACAGAAACTTTAGAAAATCTAAAGATCACTTAATATTTTTTTTTATTTATTTCTTTTTAATTACAATCTGTCACACTTGAGACATTGAGTAATTGTTTTGACATTTTCTTATTATATGAATGGATGGCAACCCAGTAGTTGTCCAGTCCAGGTTTGATTAATTTTCTATACTCGAAGTATTTGTTGACTTTTTATAGATGCAACTATACCCACAAGAGGCGATTTTCACTTGAGGCTATATTTGAGATCTATAACCTCAAGTGGAAATTTGACATCAAAGTTGCCTGATGTCGGGCTACGGCGGTACCGGGAATCGATCCAGCGAACCTGGAACTAGTTGGTGACTTAATAATTTAGCTTTTCGAAAAAAGGCAAGGAGAGTGAATATATATCTGGAATCTGAAAAATTCAGAAAATTAAAGAATATTCGATAGATAAATAATTAGATTGATAAATAAATATTCTTTGCGCATTTTTATATTTTGTACAAAAAAATCTTTTTAAGACCCCCCCCCCCCCAAACAAATTTTAATACGGGGCCCCGACAAGGTGCGCTTCGCCTCTGATTCAGCCGTTGTATCTTCATGAACCGACCTGCCGTTTTCAACTTTGAATGAAAATATTGGATTGTATTTTCCATAAATAATTCATAAAACAGTTATCTCAACTATTTAAGAACGAGCGCCGCATATATGCGTTTTACACAAATCATCAACCTGACCAAAGAGCATATATATGTGTTTCATTTAAATACAAGTCGATGGCCGAGGAACTCAATGATAATAAACCAAACAGAATAGTTTACAAACATATAAACATTTTATTTATCCTGTGCAAAATCTGTATATATATATATATGTATATATATAAAATATATGTCCAGTATTTGAGAAGTACCAAAATTTGAATTGAAGTGCCAAAAATATGCGTTGGCAATTTTAAATGACTGTTGCGGCAGTTTACTACAAACCGTCCGCGAAGGGTTAAAATGGTAAGAGTGTGGAAATTTGCACAGGAACGACTTAAGCTACATGATTTGCGAAGTAAAAATAAGTATGTACGTTTTTTTGCTCTTATGTTCAAAAAAATAGTATATAAAATAACTTACTGATTGCGAGTTTGTAAGGTCTGCAGTGTGTGAGTGAAAGGAGTCGATAACATTAGGAAACCGGATGGTTTACCTAATCCAGAGCATGCCACATAATCGTGTGAGATTTACATCTAAATTTATAAATTTATTATTTTGAAGTAGATGTATGTTTTTTTTAAAAAAAAAACATTAAATTTGATTTGGTCTAAAAACAACTAGTTTCTTTGATATTTATTATTTGTATTTGCTTATTATTGGCAATGAGGTCAAACAGCTATAAATTACATTGTAAAATGATAATGATATTTATAATGGTAAAAATTATTGCAATTAAATTCTGAAAATAGTAAAAGTTCTTAATTAAATAAGGACATTGTCTGCATTTTTAAATAATATATTTGTTACGATTGAGTTATGAAGCTTAGGAGATAATCAGGCGTTTCCTTAGTAGGTTTCCTTGTGGTAGATGGTGACATCCTTGTAGTACATGTTAGGTGTGGGGAAAACGGTGACGTCGAGTTCGCGGTCGAAGGGATATCCCAAGGGCAAGCTGTCGACGTAACGGGCACCGGAGCCAACTCCGCAGGAGACAACAGGGTCGAATCCTTGGTATTGGGTGGTGGCAGGAGCGTGGTAGGGAGATACGACGAAGAAGAATTGGTATTCGATACCGCCCTTGGTACCTCTGGGGATCATCAGTCTTTCGGGGAAACCGCAGTGAGCTTCGGTGTTGTCGAAGTGGAATTCTCCTTGGCCGCTCAAAGCTCCCATGACTTGCTTGTAGAGGGTGTAGTGAGATGTGCGGTCCTTGACGAAGAAAGTATAGTCTTCGGATTTGCGTTCGACGACGTTCTTGCCGGATTTCAAATGGTATTTGAATACATCGACTTGGAAGAAGTTTTCGCGGTTCTCTTCGAAGCTGAATTCGTTGTGGTGCTCGTCGTATTTGGGTCCAATGAATACACGGACGACGGCATCGGTTTCTTTGTCGGAGACGACGTTCATCTTGTAGGTGAATGGTTTGTGGTTCAAACGTTCTTGGCTGACCTTAACGGGATGGTACACTTCCTTGTTGGCGAATTCTTCTTCGGAGTAAACCAAAGCGTTGCTGATGTCGTAAACGTATTTGTCGAAGTAAGTAACCAATTTGTCGAATTCAACACCTTCAATCTTGACACCTTGGAAGTCGAGTTCTTCGTGGGTGTAGCTGGGCAAGTGAGATTTGAATTGGTAGTAGTATTTGACAACCTTCTTGTACATTTGGTAGAAAGCAGGGTCGCGCATAGCGGTGTGGAAGCATTCCAAAGCGCTGGGGTATTGGTGGTAGTAGTCGACGGTGTCGAAGGAGTTTCCGAGGATGACCTTCAATACGCCGATGAAGCTCTTGTAGAAGCGGGTGTTGTAACTGTCGGGGTTGCTGTTGATCAAGTTGCCGAGTACGTTGATGGCCTCGGGTTTAGTCAAATCGAAGTGGCTGCCGTCGGGCAATACAACAAATCCGTAGTCGATAACATCACGGATGCGGCGTTCGTAGTCGTGGGCGTGTTGTACGTACTCGTGGTAGTATTCAGAGTAGTTGTAGATGTGTCCTTCGTGACGTACTGGGAAGTCCAATCCGTTGAAGTGGTGCATGGTGGGGTAGTAAGAGGTCTCGGAGACGTAGTCGTGAGATAATTCGGGGATTTCTCCGAATTGGTGAGATACGCGTTCCAAGTAGTAACGGGCCAACAATTGTTGGATGGTGAAGAAGTACAATTCTCCGCGACGGTCCTTGTTTAAGGTGAAATGTTCTCCTCCCATCCAGAAGGGGTAGTCCATGTGGAAGTAATAGTAGAAGGAGTTCAAGCCGACATCTTCGGTGAAGTAAGTCAATTCTTGTTCTTCGCTAGTTTGGACGTACCATCCGGAGTAGTTGGCGGGGATCACGACGTTTGTGTGGGTCTTCTCCATTTTGTGTTGATAGGCTTTGGTGATTACTTCGTAGTTGACGAAGTGGTGAGGGTAGATTTCGTAAGGAGCGGGCAATTCGATTCCTTGCAAATCGTGGCGGTGGAACACGGCTGCGGTCAAAGCGTAAACGAATTGTTCGGCGTTGACGTGGTCACGAGCCCAGACCATGGTCTTGTAGAAGGTCTCGAAGTCCTTGGCATAGTAGAATACGTTGAAGAGGGCGACGACTTCTTGGCGGTGTACGGTGTTGTACACGTTGAAGACGGCTCCCTTGGGGAGAAGTCCGTGTTTGTACAAGTGAACGAATTCCTTGACGGCGGTGGCGTTGGTGTAATGGTCGTAGTTGCCTTCGAATGTGTAGCTTTGTCCTACATTGTAGTGTTCGTCGTAGTGATCCTTTTGGAACACATGGTGCAATACTTCGAAGATGGCCTTTTGCTTGACCAAGGTCTCCTTGTCGACCACCTTGTATTTGCCATGGGTGGTTGGCACGAAGAAACCGCAAGCCACGGCAACTAAGGCGGACAACACAACAATGCTCAGGGCCCTCATGATTCGCTTCTAGTCGGATCTGTTGGACTGCACAATTTGCAGTATGCTCAAAACAGCATGAAACAGGTGCTTATATACATATAATTTTACACATTATCTGTTTTCCAATGCAATTAAATTTTATCTTTATGCATTTAATCAAGACAGTTTTAATACAATTTTGTAAATTTATATAGTAATTAGCCTTGCATAATTAAAATTTGATAACAATAAATATTTATATAAAATACTATTTTTTATTCAAAAGCCAGATATATATATATATATATATATATATATATATATATATAAATTATTTTTATAAACAAAATCTTTTGGTCGATAGTCTTTAAGTTAAAGGTTATCAATTTTCATATTTTGTATAACACAGTGACAAAAGATAGCAGATACTTGTGCAATAGTCAATACAATAATTTTTGTGATGGAAAAACGTTGAACATAAACATGTTAAATAATTCTGAAAATCCATGAAAAAACAATACAAGTAAATAAAACAAATGCTTCTTATTAAAAATATATTTATTCTGTCTTTATTAAAGTGGTATATAAGATGGCAATATTCCAAGTGCTGGTCTTTTATTTGTATGTACTTCATCATTATCATTGATACTTACGTCTGAATTGTCACTAAGTGTATTACCATGTTCTAGAATATCTTTAACAGTATTTGTATCGGAATTGTCATAGTAACGATTTGTCAAATCTTTTTCTTCCTTTATTTTATCATCAGTTTTGACAGATTCTCGTTTATTTACTTGCTTTTTATATAATCTCGCCTTAGATGTATTTTTTCTAGCTGCATGCGGATAAGGGCATTTTGATCTAGGGCATTTGTTGGTTTTGGCAAAGTCAGGGCAAAGAAAGACATGGCGATATTTGCACTGTAAAGCAATAGATTTCTTGATTAAAATCCCATTCAAAAATTATTTGGTGAAATATGTTACATTTTATTTTAAAAAATTATAGTTTCTTCAGACTTATCATTGATATTTACAAACCAATGAATTCATAATCTATAATTTTTTTTATCTTATCCAAGCTAATTAACACTTTAGACCAAACAAAATTATCAAGAGCAATAAAACTAATAAAATACATGCTATTATAGATAACCAATGCAAATTATATACATACGGAATAAAATTTTAATACATAACGTTATTTATCTTTTTAAATAATTTGCAAGAGGCAATTTATTTAATGATTGAAGGAAAGGTAACATACAATATAGTATCAACACAAACCTTTTCTGCCTTCTCGCAATAACCACGTAGAAATATTTTACAAACAGAAACATTGGCATTATGCTTTATATGAGGATATATGCAATTATCTCTACCGCATACACCAGCTAAATAATGCAAGCATATTGGCATCTTTGCGGCACTTGTATCATGAGATAGTAAACAATTTGATTTGGAACATTTGCCTGCCAGATAACTGAAAAAAAAAGGTTTGCTCATTGCTTTGTAAAACTTTGAATATAAATAATTCATGTACATACTCCTTGCATATATCGATTTGTCGTTTGTCATGAACTTTAAAACAACGCCCTTGTTCACTCCTTTTACAAACACCATACTTACGAAAAACTTGGCAAGGAATATTAGTAATTCTAAGAGCTTCCCTAAATTATTAAATATAAATTATAGTAATGTAATATAGTATATTATAGAAAAATCCTTCAGATTTGTTTCATTTTTGTTAATATTATTAATTGAATACCTCTTAATAATTGAAGTAGAAGACTTTCTTGACTTTGAATTAATTACTTTATAAGCAGATCTATTTTTAATAACAGAATGATTTTCTTCATGATCACCATTAACTGCAGAATGACATAAAAAATACATTAATTTGTGTTTGAAGAATATTTTAACATACTTCTGCATACCATTGGTTTTGGAATATCTATTCAACTTTGTAAATCTTTTAACAGTAGTCCTATTAATTATGCAGTTGAAAAGTTTTCCTGAAGGCATTTGATAAACTTTTCGATATTTTGTCACTTTGTTGACATCCAAAGATTTTTCAGAAGATCTATATATTATAAAATTCATTTAATTATATTTATTTACTTAAAAAATCAAATTTTTTAACAAATAACAAACCTGTTCAGGTGCCTTATAGCATATTTTGTCTTCGACAATATAACACTTGTTTCAGGTTTTTCTAATCTTCTATCCAATTTATATTTTGTAGTCTTTCTTCTCATTGAACATAACGTTGGTTTGAACGGGCTTGTCTTTAGTAATACCACAGGATTTTTCTTGGGGGATTTTTTATTTAACCGTAATTTAAATGGATTTGTATTTAAAATTTTATTGGAATTAACATTTTGTAAAGGTGCACGTATTAATTTGGTTTTCGACTTACTAATTAAAGTCATTGGCTGTATTTCAACTTTTTTAACATCCTTTATGAGCTTATTACAAGTGTTTTTAACAAGTTTACGGTTCGACAAGAAAGAATATTTTGATGCACTATTTTCAGTACCTCCAATTTTAGGCGCTATATTTTGTACTTTAGTGTTTAAAACAATAGGCTTTTGTACTGGAGCTATTGACACTTTAGCATTTATATCTGACACATTTTTAATTTCATTTGAAAAAAGTGCATCAAAATGTTTTGGATTAATATGAACTTTGATGTTTGGAGCAATAGGTTTATTAAAATTTGGATTAACATGTGCACCTTTAAATAAAGGATTGACATGAATGTTTGAGAATGATGGGTTGACATGAATATTCGCAAATTTTGGATTGATATGGATATTTCTATTAACATTTTCTACAGCATGATTTGTGTATTTTGGGTTGATAAAAATTTTCTTGGATTGATTTGTTGTTTTACTGATACCGTCATCTGTCATGGTTAGATCTGTGAAAATATTAATCACCTGTATATATAACAGATTAGTTTTATAAACAATAATATATTGACTTACATGTTATGTTCCAAGCTTAGTTTTGTATGATGATATCTAATAAATAAAAAAACTTTCAAACAATAAGTATATAATTAAAAACAAGAGAAGGTCTATTGTATTTCTCAAAAACTGATTGTGACATTGACATTTCACAAGAAACAGTGTAGGCAATCTATCAATTTGTACAAGTTAGCCAACCGGAAAGATAAAAGCGGTAAATTTAACTACAGGAGTTCTTAAAATATGTTAATTATTGTAATTACTAACTTTAAGAGGCATTTTGCTTCAAGGCAAGTTGCATGAATATTTCAACACGTGTAAATGTGAACTAGTGGTGTATGGCATCGTTTTTAAGGCAAATTGCTGAAACTTGTCGCATCGCAACGAAATGTTCGAGGAATATTGAATGTTTTCAAATAGATTATTATAAATATTGCAACATTGTCGAATATTTATAATTGCAAAGTTAAAATTATTTACATATATCAATTCATTTCATTCTAGCTAGAATCAAAATTAAAAACTGAATTATTTAAGCTATTATTTTTTTTAAATTAAAAAAAAAAATTACAAAATTTTATTTTCTCCGAAAACAATCGTTTCGTATCTCTTTGCTTCGTATCTCTGAAACGGTTGGACCGACCCTTCCCAAAAACTAATCAGCACTAATCTTCATCAACAGGAATCGACTGCTTTTTCAATCATTCAATTTGGTTGAGCGGTACTCCACTAAAAATTGAATCCACAAATACATACATACACATACACACATGCACACATCCATTTTTGACGTCTTGTAGTAGGGTAAGTTATAGTAATTGCAAAAAAATCGAAAATGAAAATTTTTATATATCTTTACTTTTCAGAGGTTTTTGAACATATGGCACACCTTAGAAAAAAATTTTGTATGTGTGTATGCGTGTGTGTGCGTGTGTGCATGTGTACATGTGTGTGTATGTGTGTGTGCGAATACAAATTTTCGTCGACGATTTCAGGAACACGGTTCAACCGATTCCAATTATTCAAAAAACATTCGATTGCTCTTGACAAGGAGACGTGCTGATTGGTATTTGGCATAGGCAGGTCTAGCTGTTTCGAAGATATGGGGCAAAAAGTGTCACAAACCGTAACTCAGTTTTTAAGAGAACGGAGTGTCCAATTTTAATAATTCAAAGAACATTTTACTTGTATTGACAAGATGAACAACTGATTTTCATGTGAAAAAAGTAAAAAAAAAATGCCATTTGGCGGTCGAAAATGCTCATTAGATATATGCACATAAAATTATTATATATTTTATAGAGACTTTAACAATAAGTATAAATTTTGTTTACATTTCCTATGGGTTTCAAGACGAATTATCTTCGATATTTCGTCTCTATGCAGTTACGATTGCTTCGAAAAAAAGTTCAGAACTTCAAAAATATTTCAAAATAAAAGAAAACATTTTTATTCAAAAAGCCTTTTTCCAAAAAAAAATATTTTTTTTCAAAAATTTATAGTTTATCAAAAATCTAATTTTTTCAAAGTAATTTTTTTTAAAACCTTTATCTTTTAAAAAAAAATTTTTTTGGTGCAGGAAGTTCCTGCAATTTGCCTTAAGGCACGATGCCATGCGCCCCACTAGTTTTTCTAGGTATGCCAAAATGTTAAGAAACCCTGAAACGTGGAAATATGCAAAAAAAATTCAATTTCGATTTTTGGCCCATTACTATACCTTACCCTACGGGAAGTTAATTAATAACAAAAAATTATATCCAATCTATGTAAGAATGAAAATGCTGTATCATAATGATTCGTAATTTTCATTAATGCCTGAATTGAAATTGTTGACCTTGTTTCGAGTACAAGTACATACAAATGCAGATGCACGCTTTTGAAATTGGAACGACAATCTCAAACGAGCAGATAAATGCTCGTGTTCAGTTGATATTTCTCTTTCAAAGTGTCGATAACAGTCCAATAATCTTTTTAATTAAAAACATTCCACGTATAGTGAAAACAAAAACATGATTTTAATATCTAATCAATCGATATAAAAAATTTGAAATAGTGCTACAATATGTGTTCAATAGAATTTGAGGAATGCTTTATATAAATATTTACCTGAAATATTAAAAAATATTTATCTGGTGAATTAAATGGAGTGCAGCAATGATGGGGAATAAGAAATTACTCATCTGTTTTTTATAAAAATATACAAGCAAGGGTAATTCTAATAAAAAATTATTTTAATTGTGTACCCATCATGACTTCAAATTTAATTTATTATAGAAATATTTATATTAGGAATTTTCACTCATTTTTTAAATATAGTTAAATATGGTTTGTATGAACATAATACTGAATCCTGTATAATCTAATTTTATTACAACTAAAAATGAATAATTAACTTCCCGTAGGGTAAGTTATAGTAATCGCAAAAAAATCGAAAATGAAAATTTTTATATATCTTTACGTTTCAGAGGTTTTTGAATATTTTGGCACACTTTAGAAAAAATGGATGTGTGTATGTGTGCGCGTGTGTATGTGTGTTCAGATACAAATTTTCGGTGACGATTTCGGGAACACGGATGAAGCGATTTGAATAATTCAAAAAACATTCGATTTGTGTTGATAAGGAGACGTGCTGATTAGTTTTTGGCGAAGGCAAGTCTAGCCGTTCCGAAGATATGGGGCAAAAAGTGCCAAAAACGGTAACTCAGTTTTTAAGAGAACGGAGCGTCCGATTTAAATAATTCAAAATACAGTTTACTTGTATAAACAAGATGAAGAACTGATCAAATTTTCATGAAGGCACGTCTAGCGGTTTCGGAGATCTAGTAAAAAAAGTAAAAAAAAAATGCCATCTGGCGGTCAAAAATGATCATTAGACATATGCACATCAAATTATCAGATATTTTATAGAGATTTTAACAATAAGTATAAATTTTGTTTACATTCCTATGGGTTTCGTACCAATATAAATAAAATATAGTACTAAATAAAGGATAGTACTAAATAAAATGATATCCGTATTATGATGATTTAATATAAAACTAGTGGTGTATGGCATCGTGCCTTAAGGCAAATTGCTGGAACTTACCGTACCTTAACGAAATGTTCGAGGAATATTAAATGTTTTCAAATAGATTATTATAAAAATTGTAACATTGTCTAATATTCATAAGAATTATATATTATATAACTTTAGTCAGAATTAAAATTAATATCTGAATTATTTGAAATATTTTTTTTTCCAAAAGCAATTATTATGTTGAAACAAGCAGAAAGTTCTTTGAAGAATTTAAATCGGTCGCTTAGTTCTCTCAAAAACTCAATGTCTATTTTCTGCACTCTTTGCTCCGTATCTCCGAAACGGCTGGACCTGTCTTTGGCAAAGACAGGTCCTAATCTACTAATCAGAACATCTCTCTATCAATAGGAATCGATTAATTTTTGAACATTCAAATCGGTTGATCCGTGTGCCCGAAAACGTGGACGAACAATTGTATTCATACATACATACACACACATCCATTTTTGTTTAGGTATGCCAAAATGTTCAGAAACCTTCAAAACGTGAAGAAATGTAAAAAAATTTATTTTCGATTTTTGGGCGATTACAATAACTTACCCTACGGAAAGTTAATGAATAAAATTTGTGAATAATTAAAATAATACTAGAAAAACAATAAAGTAGAATAAAAACAATAAGTGATAAATAATAATAAATATAACAAAATTACAATATTATAAATAATAAGATAATAATATAATAATAATAATAATAAAAATAATAATAATAATAATGATAATATTGGGAATTTTTCGTTTTAGCCTGGTTGTTCGTCAATTCTTCTCTAAAACACAAAGTAAAATATTTATTTGTATCTCAAAGGTGCCCCTAACCGTATTGAGTTCAGTTAGAATTTTTATATGGATTTTGACCATATTTGTACGCATTATTCGATTTTTTTAAATAAGTTAACGAATTATTAAACATATTTAATCATTCATAATCATTTCATAATTGAACTTGACCTCAACCCACAGAACGCAACTTACGTCTGCATACTTTCATACATTTCCATCGATAACTTTTGTTATTAATTGATAATAAACAAAAAATTTGTCAAAAACAATTTCATAATAATAGACCTCAAACTTTTATTATTTATGAATAAAAAATAGTAATATGATACCAAAGCAGGTTTACGCCGTTGTGTTCTCAAATATTCGCGCAGATGTAACTTTCTCTTTACATTTTCCTTTTCGGAATGTCTCAGTAGTTTGAAATAATAAATTGCGAACGTTTGTGCTAAAGTAAATACAATATTAAGTATAATACAATAAAGAATACAGTAAATTATATTCAATTTAATTGTAATAATCAAAACATTGCAATTTAAATTCATTAAATATTTGATTTCTATGAAATATTCTTATAAATTATAAAATACTGTATTTCAACATTTTGTTCTGGAACTTCTTTTTTGCATATTTTTGCTTGTATTTCTGTTCATGAGCGAAATTTTTAATGCAAGTGTTAGTACAGTATATTGGACGTTTGCCAAACAGACATTTCTAATAATAATTTTTTGTTATTTTGTGATAAAAAAATATACAGGTAACAGCTGTTAGGGGTTATTCCATTGTAGAAATTCGACAAAATCGTTATTTTGTTCTTCGAAATTTTTAAAGCTTAAACATTCATTCAATATGTGTTATTGAATGAATTCTACTTGAAATTTTTGGAGAATCATTTTTATAGACTTCCTCCAGTGTATACTAGCGTCAACCCCAAATTTCGGTTTTTACTATTATTATTTTTTGAGAATCTTCACTTCAACAACTGCTAACTTTTAAAACTACTTTGTTGAATCATTCAAATCGGATGCTTAGTTCTCTCGCAAATTGCTATTTTTGCACATTTTTTTTACCGGACCTGCCTTTGCCAAAAGCTAATCGTCACTTCTCCTCGTCATTATAAATTGAATGTTTTTTGGATCATTCAAATCGGATGCTCCGTTCTCTCAAAAACTCGATTTCTATTTTCCGCACTCTTTGCTCCGTATCTCCGCAACGGCTAGACCTGCCTTTGCCAAAAACTATTCAGCACGTCTCCCTATCAATGGGAATCGAATGTTTTTTAAACCATTTAAGTCGGTTGATACGTGCGCCCGAAAACGTGAACGAAAGAATGCGGACACACAAAACACACACACACACACATATACGATTTAATTTCCTTGCGTTCTGGGGTGTCTTTTGTATCATTTTATTGATTTTTTTAACCTTTGTGCTATATAAAATATAGTCCTAAGCATAACCTATATTAAGTATTTTAATAAGCTTAAAAAGTCAAATATAAAATTTTAAACCAATAAATTAATTATGATAAAATATTAAAGTTGTTCCAGATTGTAAAAGAAAAGTAAAATACATATATGATTTCATTTTTTTTTCAATTCAAAAAGATATATTTCAATATATAAAATGATTAAAATATATACTGCATAAAGGTGGATTGGTACACATAAGTTGCCTGCTTCTGGGTATTATACTTCAATATAATATATATTTATATATGTGGCTTTATTTATAATATAAAGTAGTTCTTGAAGCAGTATTAGCTAGGAATTTATATAAATAATAAATTTTCAATATGTCAGGTGAGTTGATTATGCTTTATGTTTACAAAATCACGTTTAAATCATTTTATTTATATTTTTTTCAATAATTATCAGCCTGGAAAGCCGAAGATCAACTTAACGCTATACTAATCGAAGCTGCGAGTATCCCATGTGACGATTGTCCTGTCGAAGATTTGAATTTAGAATTCCCGCCGTATTACGATGAAAAACTATTTAAACGGTAACAATGGAACAGATAAAATGATGCATTATATTATAATTCCTTCAATTATTCGTTTCTTTACTCAGTGGTCAAGATTACTACCAGCAAAATATTTTTGCTATGCACACCGGTATGTTTTCTGGACTAATTGGAGTTCTGGCGGTGCCTTCTATTCTAAGAGTATTAATTTTCACGGAACGTTCAGGAACTGCATGTTTGGCATATAGGAGATATTTTCAAACTATTTTGCATACTGCTTTGTGGTTTGATGATACACTCAACCCTAATTCCAAGTAAGATTTATGCAAGTTGCAAATTTGTTGTATAACTAGTTGAGCATGGCATCGTGCCATAAGGAAAACTGCTGGAACTTTCCGTTCCGAAAAGGGGCCGTTCAAGTATTACGTAAGCACTATAGGGGGGCGGGGGGTTATTGATTTGCTTATTTTGGGTTGACATGCGGTGCAGGGGAGTCTGGATGATGATTACGTCATAGGTAGTATTTTAATTTTTTTACCGAATGGCAACCTTACATTGTCTTTGCCAGTACCAAAAATTTAAAATAAGTTTATTATATTCGTAATATTATAATAATTTTGTTACTCTATGTTGAATACCATATCAGTAAAATCTCTATATACTAAACCTATTTTCTTATTTTTAAAATTATAATTATAACCTAATAATTACAATATTTAAAAAAACAATACATTAATTGCAAAATATTTACGTAAGCATGGGGGTAGGGGGTAAGAGCTGTGCTTACTTTTGCTGACAAGGGGGATGGGGGGAGGGGGTAAATTATTGTAATAAATCTGCTTACGTAATACTTGAACGATCCTAAATTACAATTATTAAAAAAACTTTACAATTTTTTCAAGATTTGATAAAATAGGTTTTTTAGAATTTTGTAATTTCTGAAGAAAGATGCCTTTTTTAATTCAAAATATTTGAAAATTTCTGTAAATTTTGAACTTTTATTTAAAGTAATCGCGCTGCATCAGCGGCGTAGAGACAAAATGTCTAAGCGCGTAAGCACCGCATCGTAGTTTAACAGACGAACATTGGTACGGAACCCACAGAAATGTAAACAAAAGTTCTTATTATTGAAATCCTTATAAAATATCTTATAATTTGATGCGCATATGTCTAATGATCATTTTTGTCCGACGAATGTATTTTTTTCCTTTTTTTATTGGATCTCTGAAACCGCTAGACCTGCCTTCCCAAAAACTTAACTAGTTGGTATTGGTATCTAGCTTTGAGGCAAGTTACATGAACTTCCCGATATGTGTAAATAATCGACTCAATCAATAATAAACAAATTAATTTATGAGTGATTAGAAGTATTCCGAGTGAATTTATTACACATAATTGAAAACGAACGAACACGTTAACTCGGAGTATTTTCTAGAAGCAAATTTTCGATTTTTATATTTGAACCAGTTTCCGTAGGACTTTAATAATTTATTAATACCAAGTACTCTAACGTTATACCAAGTAAATCGTCTAATTTTAATTTTAACAAACGTCAACAAAACTAATCCTTTCAGCAAACGTCGATAAAAAGTCTAATTTTGACAAATGCCAAAAAACGATACAAAATTTTTGCAAATTTTGACGAATTTTTAAAGCTAAACGAGTTGTCGTAGGGCGCTAATATTTTAGTATGATATAGAAGACTATGATATATACCGTCAAAAAAAAAAAAAAGAAAATCGTCGAATTTTTTTTTGAAACTTTATTACAAGAAAACGGCCCGGCCGATCTTTACCAAAAACTAATTAGCACGATTCCCAACCAATATCTTTCGAACGGTTTTTGAATTTTCAAAATCGATTTAGAATCGCGAGCTGAAACGTGGACGAAAATCTTTTTACTTTTCTGCTATTTACAAAGAAACGGCTTGGATGATCGTCGCGCAAAGTTGATAAAAGCTAGTCCTTAACGAGATACATCGAATGGCTTTTAAATTTTTGAAATCGGTCCAGCCGTTTTTGAGAAAACGTCGATTTACGGCAAAAAATCTGTGCGTGCACACGCACACACACACACACACATACTTTTTCCAAATTTTGTTTCATTCGATTCAGAATGGCTTGAAACGTCGAGAAAACATAAAATTAGCGAATCGGATTTTTTGATGAAAACATAAACTTCTCCTTCGGGAAGTTAATAAGTACATTATTACCATGTCAATATAAATGATTGTTTTTTAAATCATTCAAATCGGACGCTCCGTTCTTTCAAATTGCCATTCTTAGCACTTTTTACCCCGTATCTTCAAAACGGATAGACCTGCTTTTGCCAAAACTAATCAGCACGTCTCCCCACCAACAGCAATCGAATGTTTTCTGAATTATTCAAACCGCTTGATCCGTGTTCTCAATATCGTGTGCGAAAATTTGTATTCAAACATACATACGTGCACACACATGTGCATTCATTTTTACTAAGGTATGCAAAAATATTCAGAAGGTCCTGAGACGTTAAGATATATAAAAAATTGCATTGCGATTATTATAACATACCCTAATGAAAGTTAATGAGAAACCTTGCTGAGAAGTTCATTAAATAGAGTAATAGAGTAAAATGCTACATACAACTATTTATTTTAATCTGACATAGGCTCATAATATTCTAATTAACTTGAAATTTGAGAATATAGTTTGTTTTTTTTTTTCTTTTCGAAAGTTGCAAATGTTCCATAGCCAATGGAACGGTTTGCTAGAGGACGACATTGACACGATTTTTTTGGTTATCATTTTTTCTCTCAACAGGTCTTGGAAGTCCTTGCTTATGATACGGAAAAGGCATTTGCTAACCGGAAAATCAGCTTATAAGCACGGTGCCGGACTAATAAGTCAAAAAGACATGGCCTTAACACAATTTGGATTCATGGGTTTTATTTTGATACGACCACATTTGCTAGGAATAAAACATGATAATTTAAAAGATCGACAAGCTCTGGTGCATGTATGGCGATGTTTAGGATACATACTGGGGATAAAAGAAAAGTAAAATAATAAAATTAAATATTTTTTTTATGCAAGAGTATAAATTATATCCACTAATATTTCAGATACAATATATGTCGAGAATCGTTCGAAGAAACTTTAGAACTTTGCGAACTGCTGCTTCAAAAAGTCTACAAACCCAATTTGACCCATTGCAGCAAGGATTTTGTAAAAATGACTAAAATCCTAGTCCAAGGATTGCAAGGACAAGCCCCATTATTAGAATATCATGCATATATGTTCTTCACAAAACGATTGGCTGATGTTGAAAGTTATAAATATTTAGAATCTGATTATCCGCCAAATGAAAATAAAGAAATGGAACAAGCATATAAGAAATTAGGATGGTATTCCCGATTCTCTCTATTTTTGATAGTAGGAATTCATTCATATTTGCTTTCTATACCGTTATTTAGGTGGTATTATAATTTAGAGAAACGATTCCATATGATAATAGACAGATATATTCCTTATTTAGCTATTTATAAATTTGGATGGAAGAATGCATTTGTAGATATAAGAGTAGACACATATAAAGATAAGTGACCAAGTAATATTTATTATTGTTAACGCAAATATAATATTCTTTTTCAATGTTTATCATTGTTCATATAAGTGTGAACGAATTGTCTATCGACGTTGATATATATGTGTATATATATATATATATATATATATATATATATATATATATATATGAACCGCTCAGTCATCGACTAACTCCATTTTTTGAAAAAACTGAGATATTAGTGCGAAAGTACTCAGTGTAATCATAACTGTTAGTGATAATAATGACTTTTCGGAATAATTAAAATTAACACTGTGAAACATAATTTTTTTTTGACCTCTGAATAATAACTCATTTATTTCAGAAGACATTTTGATTAACTCCATTTTGTAGTGCATATGTTCCGGCTGGACCGGTTTTCGAGTTTCATGAATCACAAATAAGAATTTGATAAAAACATAAACCCTAAGATTGTTTGGCAAAAAACTGTAGAGTCTCAAGGATGTTACAAACTTACATACTAAAATTCGTGTACCCGGCAAAACAGAAATATTAAAACTGTCTTAAGTTTATTGAAACTTGTTTAAAATACGGAAATAAGAGCTAAGTCAATTGAAATGAAATTTCTGGTCAGTGGAAATAGCTATTTACCTATTGACTCTAGATTATTGAGTCACGTGCAAAAAAAATCGAGACATTTTTTCACTAGATAATTGGTACAATATAATAAAAACATGTAAAAGGAAAGCGCCATTTTAGCTAATCCAAATATTCCACGGAGATTTTTTATCAACAAAGCCATTAGAACAATCACTAACAGAAAAGTAACCATTACAGAGTGTCCAGTAAATTTATAAAGTTAGAAATCTTATATAAGCCAATCTTATATAATTTAAATGTGTCAATAATGAAGATACATATTTTAAAGCTATTAATATAAGAAAGTCTGTACCAGGTTGACCAAAATGTTTGAATAATATACAATAGTCATTATTATATTATAAAGCTAGAACTTTGAAAAAGGAAAAATTGAGAGACATAAAGGATTTGCTAAAATTCATTCCCCCCACTACGAAAAATTGACAGAAATTATTCTAATCATAATAGAACAGCTGATAGAGAAAATATTATTTATAGAATTACTGATTAATCACAAATAATATATTACAACAGTTAACATTTATTTTTATGAAAATGCTTTAACACAAATATATAAGAATTAGGTTTATTATTTTTTTTCAGTTGACAACTTGATTAACTCCACAAGTCATATCAAATCTTTAACTTGAATTATAATTATTTACTCACTATTTACTGTAATTAACCTTATATACCATCACATATAAGCTATATATGTATTTATACGTTCTACATTATATTTTCCAACTTATATTATTACAGGAATTTTTAAAAGCAATGTGCATTACTTCATCGCTTTTCTCCACTTTCTGTTTAGGAGTTAGTCGATGTGTGCACTGAACGGCTCATATATCTTGATAGTCGAGTCTCATCATTACAGTCGAGCCTTTTGCTTGTGTGTTTCATGCGTCATAAAATTACATTTTAAAATGTTTTTAATTTCGTAGTTATTCATTTTTTTTCGAAAAAATGTCCTTTTCTAATATGTTATAAGTTTAATTTTATTAAATATTTTTTTTGAGTGTTTTTGTCCTGTGTTGCTGAATGATGACACGCATCTGGTGTCGAAACGTATAAATAAAAGTTTTTAATACTTTATACTTTTTTTTATTTCGATGAATCGGCTGCTAGTTACTTTGAATATATATATATATATATATATATATATATATATATTCTTATGTATGAAAATGGAGCTCTCTTTCACATGTCCAAGTAAAACTCGAAAACAACTAAACCGATTTGGCCAGTCTTAGTCTTGAAAAATTTGTGCCAATCCAGAGAAAGTCCAAAAGGTGAGAAATTATTTTAAAATCGCGTAGAAACTTTACATTTTTAATTTGAAAATTTTGTAGAAGCGTAATTTAAATAAAAAAATGGACGGTGGCAATTTCGTGAAATGTCAAACGCTTTTGATAGGATGTTTTACGCGAATATTATTTAATTATGATAAATTTGTAGTAAGTAGTTTTGTTTGTAGTTTTATTTATATACAAAAACGTTAGTAAACGGGCCGCAAGTAATAGAGACAAGCAATAGAGACTCAAAATATAAACTTTTATATTTATTAAACAAATAAGAATAGGGATTCAAAAGGTCCAACATCGATGTGTCAAAAATCAGTAAAACCAAAATTTTTTTGACCAAAAATTTTTTTTCCAAAATTTTTCGGACTAAAATTTTTTTGACCAAATTTTTTTTGACCAAATTTTTTTTCCCAAAATGTTTTGAAACAATTTTTTTGTACAAAATTTTTTTTTTGGCGGCATTGATGCATACCGCACCAAGGGTGGCTATGAAATAACGACCTAACAGCTTTTATTGCACTTGGTACTATCCTGAGTGTCGACTCAGCTTTTTGTTGGGTTTCATTTTGTTCAAATGAGCAATCAATTCTGATTAGGTCGTCTCATCTGGACTTTTTTGGATCCTGAACATCGGGAAGTAATGGTATGGTTGCTTCGACTTTGGTCGACCGTCGATCTCAGAGTTCAAAGTTTGAACCGACTATATACAAGTTTTTATTGATTTTATGTGATTTTTTCCATTTACAAACGGTGTACAAAATTTTTTTGACCAAAATTTTTTTTCCAAATATTTTTTGACCAAGATTTTTGTCCAAAATTTTTTTTGGCGGCATTGATGCATACCGCACGCTTCGAAATACTGCAAGGGTGGCTATGAAATAACGACCTTCTAATAATCCGACTTTTAATACTCTCTTAATTTAATATTTAACTTATTGCTAGAAGGCTTCCTGAATCTTATTTTATTAATGTATTAATGAACGTAAACAAATGTTTTAAATTATTATCACAACAAAAAAATATTAATTTTGGCTTATATATTTATTTATTTATTTATTTATTTATTTATTTATTTATTTATTTATTTAAATGTATAGCCTACAGATTTCTCCAAGAGGACTCAAAAATACAGTTATTTTACATAATGAATAACAATTAAAATATATACAAAATTACAATATATAGTTTGTAACATAAAATGCTTAAGATAAAATTACATATAATGCAGAATGTAACAATATTATTTTAAACAGAATAAGATAAAATAATGAGATATTTGAAAAGAAAATAAAAAGGTTAACTTGTGCAGATGGAGATTATTTGAATAGATGAAGTGTTGTGAATATCTATTTCATTATTAATTAAGTTAAAGTTAGAGGACATAAGTAGAATAGGCGAATTTAAGAGAGAATTATATTCAGGAGTAGGATAACTGAAAAATAATTGCGAACGCGTATATAGCCTTGGAACATTAAAGGATAATTGATTAAGAATAAGAGAATTATTGCAAAGTTTAAATAAGAACATAATTGTACAGATAAATCGACGTGAGGCAAGGGAAGGAATACCGAATTCTTTTAGTAAAGTGTTGTGGTCAAAGTTCAGGGTAAATTTTATATGTTTTATAATAAAGATATTTCAGAAGTTTTTGCTGAATCTTCTCTATCGCATCAGAGTTGTTGATTTGATGATATATATATATATATATATATATATATATATATATATATATTGGCTTATAGAATAAAAAAGCGACTCTACTGACGAGCTGAAATAGGAGATAGTAAATATAAATGGAATGCTACTGACGAGCAAATTAATGCCTCAAGATCCTTCCAATTTTCCTTTCTTCAAATTTTTTTTCCCAAAATTTTTTTGACCAAAATTTTTTTGACCAAAAGCTATTTAATCAAAAAATTTTTTGACCATAATTTTTTTGACCAAAAATTTTTTTTCTATAAATATTTTTGACCAAATTTTTTTTTTCCAAAATTTTTTGGACCTAAATTTTTTTGACCAAAATTTTTTTCCCAAATTTTTTTTGACCAAAATTTTTTTGACCAAAAATTTTTTTCCAAAAATTTTTTGACCAAAATTTTTTTTTCTTAAAATTTTTTGGTCCAAAATTTTTTTGACCAAAATTTTTTTTCCAAAAAGATTTATTTGACCAAAATTTTTTTGACCAAAAGCTTTTTAACCAAAAATTTTTTTGAGCATAATTTTTTTGACCAAAATTTTTTGGGCCAAAATTTTTTAAATCAAAACTTTTTTGACCAAAAATTTTTTTGACCAAAATTTTTTTGACCAAAATTTTTTTTGACCGAAATTTTTATTCCCAAAATTTTTTTGACCAAAATTTTTTGGGCCAAAATTTTTTTGACCAAAATTTTTTTCCCCAAAATTTTTTTGAACAAAATTTTTTTTCAAAATTTTTTTGACCAAAATTTTTTTTTCAAAATTTTTTGGACCAAAATTTTTTTTGACCAAAATTTTTTTGACCAAAATTTTTTTTTTCAAAATTTTTTTTGACCAAATTTTTTTTCCCAAAATTTTTTTTCCCAAATTTTTTTTTCCCAAATTTTTTTTTCCCAAAATTTTTTTGACCAAAATTATTTGGGCCAAAATTTTTTTGACCAAAATTTCTTTCCCCAAAATTTTTTTGAACAAAATTTTTTTTTCAAAAATTTTTTTGACCAAAATTTTTTTGACCAAATTTTTTTTGACCAAATTTTTTGGACCAAATTTTTTTTTGACCAAAATTTTTTTGACCGAAATTTTTTTTTTCAAAATTTTTTTGACCGAAATTTTTTTTGACCGAATTTTTTTTTCCCAAAATTTTTTTCCAAAATTTTTTGGGCCAAAATTTTTTGGACCAAAATTTTTTTGACCAAAATTTTTTTTTTCAAAATTTTTTTGACCAAATTTTTTTTTTCAAAATTTTTTTGAATTTTTTGAACTGATTTTATGTGATTTTTTCCATATACAACGGTTACATGGCAACGGTTACATCAAGATCCTTTAGAGCAGATCTCCATTGATCTTCTGATCTTGATTTTTGTGATTGCGGAAAATTATTGTAAAGACTTGAAACGTCGGGAAATTGAATCTTAAAAATCTTTTTCACTTTCATTATTATCTGATTGACAACTTGTCAGAGGAAAGTCAGATCGGCTGCCAGGGTGAAAGTTGAATTTCATATGTATTGATATTTTTGTTTTCAATATTCATTTATATTAAGTTGTCAATGACTTAGTAATTGATCTTTTTTCATCGGAGCCGTCCTTAATTGTAATTAAAAACGTCAAATTCTATAATATTTATCTTAATTTATCATAACTATTATTTATATATTTCAAGTAGTATTTGAATAATATCGAAATTGCGCATAAAATAAATGGCACAACATTAAAAGTAGAATCATTCCAACAATCGATGTATAAATTTATATATCATAAAAAAATGAAATACAAAAACTGACACCGCTTCCGGATTCGAACTCGAAACCCAACGCAACAACTACCGCCTATGCTACCGAACGATTTAACGATCTCGACCACCATCTCCTCTTGCAGTTGTCAATTATATAATGTCAAATTTTATAACAATTTCAGCATTAGACATGTCGAGATGGCGCCAAATGGCATATGGCGCACGCTTCGAAATACTGCGAGTTCGACTACGAAACATCGACCCAACATTGGTTTCGCAAATTTTTTTGGGCAAATTTTTTTTGATAAAATTTTTTTGACCAAATTTTTTTGGGCCAAAATTTTTTTTGGCCAAAATTTTTTTTGGCCAAAATTTTTTGGATCAAAAGTTTTTTGACCAAAATTTTTTTGATTAAAAATTTTTGGGCCAATTTTTTTGGGTCAAAAATTTTTTGACCAAAATTTTTTGGGCCGAAATTTTTTGGGTCAAAATTTTTTTTGTGTCAAAATTTTTTTGACCAAGATTTTTTTAGGTCAAAATTTTTTGGGTCCAAGATTTTTTTAGGTCAAAATTTTTTTGACCAAAATTTTTTTGGGTCAAAATTTTTTAGGCCAAAATTTTTTTGACCAAGATTTTTTTAGGTCAAAATTTTTTGGGTCAAAATTTTTTGGGTCAAAATTTTTTTGACCAAGATTTTTTTGGGTCAAAATTTTTTTGACCAAGATCTTTTTGGGTCAAATTTTTTTTGGATCAATTGGGTTTAATATTGGTCAATATCGGTCCAATATTGGTCAATATCGGTCCAATATTGGTCAATATCGGTCTAATATTGGTCAATATCGGTTAATATTGGTCAATATCGGTCCAATATTGGTCAATATCGGTCCAATATGGTCCAATATTGGTCCAATATTGGTCAATATCGGTCCAATATTGGTCAATATCGGTCCAATATTGGTCAATATCGGTCCAATATTGGTCAATATCGGTCCAATATTGGTCAATATCGGTCCAATATTCGGTCCAATATTGGTCAATATCGGTCCAATATTGGTCAATTTTTTTGGTCAAATTTTTTTGGACAAAATTCTTTTTGCCCGAATTTTTTGACCAAAATTTTTTGGACCAGATTTTTTTTTGACCAAAATTTTTTTGACCAAAATTTTTTTTTACCGAAAATTTTTTTCCCCAAATTTTTTTTGACCAAAATTTTTTTTTTCAAAATTTTTTTGACCAAAATTTTTTTTGACCGAAATTTTTTTTCCCAAAATTTTTTTTGACCGACATTTTTTTCCTAAAATTTTTTTTGACCAAAATTTTTTTGACCAAATTTTTTTTCTTTCAAAATTTTTTTTGACCGAAATTTTTTTGGGCCAAAATTTTTGGACCAAAAATTTTTTCCCAAATTTTTTGACCAAAATTTTTTTGACAATTTTTTTTTTCGAATATTGGTCAATATCGGTCCAATATTGGTCAATATCGGTCCAATATTGGTCAATTTTTTTGGTCAAATTTTTTTGGTCAAATTTTTTGGGCCAAAATTTTTTTGACCAAAAATTATTTTGACCAAAAATTTTTTGGTCCAAAATTTTTTTTGACCAAAATTTTGTTGACCAAAATTTTTTTCCCAAAAATATTTTCACCAAAATTTTTTTCCAAAAATTTTTTGGACCAAAATTTTTTTTCCCAAAGATTTTCTTCCCAAATTTTTTGACCAAAATTTTTTTGACATTTTTTTTTCCGAATATTGGTCAATATCGGTCTAATATTGGTCAATATCGGTCCAATATTGATCGATATCTCGATCCAATGTTGGTCAATATCGGTCCAATATTGGTCAATTTTTTGGTCAAATTTTTTTGGTCAAATTTTTTTGGACAAAAATTTTTTTGACCGAATTTTTTGACCAAAATTTTTTTGACCAATATTTTTTTTTTCAAAATTTTTTTGACCAAAATTTTTTGGACCAGATTTTTTTTTGACCAAAATTTTTTTGACCAAAATTTTTTTTGACCGAATTTTTTTTTTCAAAATTTTTTTGGACCAAAATTATTTTGACCAAATTTTTTTTTTTCAAAATTTTTTTGACCAAAATTTTTTTGACCAAAATTTTTTTTCCCAAAATTTTTTTTCCCAAAATTTTTTTTTTCCAAATTTTTTTTGTGTCAAAATTTTTTTGACCAAAATTTTTTTTGATCAAAAATTATTATCTAGTCGTACCTAATTATTTATTTGAAATAGAGATACAATAATAATATTAATTAATATATAACAATTGCTACACTTTTCTATTAAAGAAACGCATGGGTAAATTTCACTGTGAACACGGTGAACCTGCCGTTTGTTATTGAATATGGCACGAGACGGCGCCAAACATGAATGCATCATGCGGCATTGATGCATACAGCGCACGCTTCGGAATACTGCAAGGTCGATTATGAAATAACGACCTAATAGCTATTTCATTGCACTTGGTACTCGAGTACCGAGTGTCAGCTCAACTCTTTGTGTTGGGTTTCGTTTTGTTCAAATGAGCGATCAATTCATTCAATGTGATTGGGTCGTCTCATCTGGACTTTTATTTCGATTCGTCTTTGGTCGACCGAGTCTCTCTATATAGTCCGACTAGCGATCGCGACAGATTTCAAAGTCGTGGTCGTCGTCGTTCTTCCGAGTTGGATTGATTTTTGACATATAATATTACTAAAAACTTGTCAAATAAATCAACATTTTTCCTTCAATATTTTGTTATTTTGTTTCATTTCTAACTCTCTCGTTGATAAGTTATATATTTTTTTTTCACAACTCGTAACGCACGCTGTGCAGTACTGCCTGCACAGTTGATAAATGAATTCCTTTTTACGGGTCGCGTACGCATCGCCGTTTGGGTCAAAATTTTTTATGTCAAAATTTTTTTGGGTCAAAATTTTTTGGGTAAAAATTTTTTGGGGTCAAAATTTTTTTGGGTCAAAATTTTTTTGACAAAAATTTTTTTGTGTCAAAATTTTTTTGTATCAAATTTTTTTGTGTCAAAATTTTTTTGGGTCAAAATTTTTTTGGGTCAAAATTTTTTTGGGTCAAAATTTTTTTTGGGTCAAAATTTTTTTGGGTCAAAATTTTTTTGGGTCAAAATTTTTTTGGGTCAAAATTTTTTTGGGTCAAAATTTTTTTGGGTCAAAATTTTTTGGGTCAAAATTTTTTTGTCAAAATTTTTTGGGTCAAAATTTTTTGTGTCAAAATTTTTTTGTGTCAAAATTTTTTTGTGTCAAAATTTTTTTGTGTCAAATTTTTTTTGTTTTTTTTGGGTCAAAATTTTTTTGGGTCAAAATTTTTTTGGGTCAAAATTTTTTTTGGGTCAAAATTTTTTTGGGTCAAAATTTTTTTGGGTCAAAATTTTTTGGGTCAAAATTTTTTTGTGTCAAAATTTTTTTGTGTCAAAATTTTTTTGTCAAAATTTTTTGGGTCAAAATTTTTTTGGGTCAAAATTTTTTTGGGTCAAAATTTTTTGTGTCAAAATTTTTTTGTGTCAAAATTTTTTTGGGTCAAAATTTTTTGGGTCAAAATTTTTTGGGTCAAAATTTTTTGGGTCAAAATTTTTTTGGGTCAAAATTTTTTGACCAAGATTTTTTTGGGTCAGAATTTTTTTGACCAAGATTTTTTTGGGTCAAAATTTTTTGGGTCAAAATTTTTTTGGGTCAATATCGGTTTAATATTGGTCAATATCGGTCCAATATTGGTCAATATCGGTCCAATATTGGTCAATATCGGTCTAATATTGGTCAATATCGGTTTAATATTGGTCAATATCGGTCCAATATTGGTCAATATCGGTCCAATATTGGTCAATATCGGTCCAATATTGGTCAATATTGGTTTAATATTGGTCAATATCGGTCCAATATCGGTCCAATATTGGTCAATATCGGTCCAATATTGGTCAATATCGGTCCAATATTGGTCAATTTTTTTGGTCAATTTTTTTTGGACAAAATTTTTTTTGACCGAATTTTTTGACCAAAATTTTTTGGACCAGATTTTTTTTTGACCAAAATTTTTTTTGACCGAAAATTTTTTTCCCCTAATTTTTTTTGACAAAATTTTTTTTTTCAAAATTTTTTTGACCAAGATTTTTTTAGGTCAAAATTTTTTGGGTCAAAATTTTTTTGACCAAAATTTTTTTGGGTCAAAATTTTTTAGGCCAAAAATTTTTTGGGTCAAAATTTTTTTGGGTCAAAATTTTTTGGGTCAAAATTTTTTTGGGTCAAAATTTTTTTGACCAAGATTTTTTTGGGTCAAATTTTTTTGACCAAGATTTTTTTGGGTCAAAATTTTTTTGACCAAGATTTTTTTGGGTCAAAATTTTTTGGGTCAATATTCGGTCGGTCCAATATTGGTCAATATCGGTCCAATATTGGTCAATATCGGTCCAATATTGGTCAATATTGGTCAATATCGGTTTAATATTGGTCAATATCGGTCTAATATTGGTCAATATCGGTCCAATATTGGTCAATATCGGTCCAATATTGGTCAATATCGGTCCAATATTGGTCAATTTTTTTGGTCAAATTTTTTGGACAAAATTTTTTTTGACCGAATTTTTTGACCAAAATTTTTTGGACCAGATTTTTTTTGACCAAAATTTTTTTGACCAAAATTTTTTTTTTTTTTTTTTTATTTTATTTTTATTCTGCAATCTATAAAAATAATTATATTTAGCAGAGAATGCTGACAAGTGTTTACAATTGGTTGTTTACAAATTAGCACATACGCCCAGTGGTGTATCTACTATAGTTAATATATAAAAAAGAAAAAACTAAAGACAAGTATAGAGAAAAAAAAATATAAATATAAAAATAAACTATAATAAATCTCGAGGTATTTTCCTTTTGAGCCTGGTCGGCTGGCCTTCCTGGTATAAGTTGCATGCTAGTTGGTTTGGATGTGCGTCAATTCTATTCTTATAATTACAGGCAAACATTGATATATGTTCTTGAATTGTAGGTATACCCGTGTCTTTGTGGAGAATCCATGTTGGCGTGTAGTGAGGAGCGTTTAATATTTGCCGCAGGAATTTGTTTTGTGCTCGTTGTATTATGTTTAAATTGCTCTTTTTAGCAGTACCCCAAAGTTGTAATCCGTAGGTCCACACAGGTTG